ACATGCTGCTAGTGAGAGAACCTGTTGTTAAAATATTTGAATCCCACCACTGCACTAATTGATTATGTTGACTAATAAAGTTAATTACCCAGCTTACATTTACATCAAAGTCAATAAAACTCCTCCAATCCCACTTGTTTGTTGGTAAAATATTTTAACCTTTACTTTACATGAGGTGCTAAATATTCTAGATATATAATTGGAATTAAAATCAACTCTGCTATCATTTAATCTTCAATTGACTTCAACTTTAGCAAGAATATTGACACTTAATTCTTAAAGACACAAATGTATTTTTCAATGGTAACTATCAAAGTTTGTTGCTGCACAAAAAAGCAGAAAAATTAGGTATTGTTTTAAAAACTAGTCTTAGTTAATTTATAATAAATTTAACATTATTTTAAATTAATGTAAATCTAGATTACTTTTGAAACTATAATGTAATACAAGCATTAAAATTATAACAATGTTATGTTTCTTGTTCTACTGTAACTGAAGTTTTGTTAAAAAATGAACTATTAAATTGCATCTAAGATGTATTTTTCACAATTTCTATAATTAATAATAGTTTCAAGTGAATTTAATTATCCTTTGAGAAGTTTCTACTATCATCAAATTTAGCTTTCACAAGATTCATTTATATTGTTATATGCTGTACTTATAATGTCGTAATTTGTATAATTCAGATTTTAGCTACATAACACATTACATTAAGGTCAAGCAAGTCCTAGAAATATCTAAAACAAGAGTATATTATAAATATGGCATTCTGTGAAGCATCATTAGGTTAGTTAGAGAGTGAATTGAAAAATGGACATGTAGTATCTAGGATTATTCCAAGATAAAGAGTGAACTAGTCATTGTATTAACACTTTATTTTGGACAAGTAAGCTGCTTTATGTCAGTTAACTTCATTTTAACACAAGCCTACAACAAGTTACTACAGATTACAAGTGTTCAAGCTTGTAGAAACATTAGAGGAGGAAATAAGCCAATACATTATAGTTTATGTAGATTGGACTTTGAATTATGTCCAACAGATAATTTAAAAGAATCCATCAATGAAAGAACAATGTGACAACACTTGGTGTCAGAGTCGAATATTACTCTTTGATGAAAATAAAATAGAACTTACACGGTTGAAGATGAGACCATGAGGTCAAAGAGTGAGAGCAAAGCATCAGTTAAAATTGTTAAGACAAGATTATGAGAAAAGAGACAGAATATTTAAAGACAAACAAGAAGAAAGGAACAGAAAATCAAAAATTAATCTATTTGAAGACAAGATGAATGAAACTATAGGAAAAGTCATATTTATAATATGCACTTGTTATAAACATGATATGATGCATCCTCTAGCTAACATCCAAATTAAACAAATTACAACAATATAAACATATGCTATTCAACATGGTATTATATATTTGATGTCAAAGTTATCAACCATTTATTTTACCCTAGATTGGTGACATAATGACATTTCATGGTAGAGGAAATACCAGATACGACATAAAAGGATACTGAAAAATACTGTAAATATACATTTTAGAGGTTCTAGATGTTATGCAAATTGTCAGATGGACAAAAGTATTTTTATTATTCACATAAACATCACCTTGTATTTTGACTTATCAGAGTCTGAGCCAGAGTGACATTGTCAGTTCAAAGACATATCTTGAGTACAAATATTTTGGTAATACATCTGATTTTCTGCATACAATGGACTTTTGTGTAAATACAACATGTATATTCAGAATTAGTATCAACAATCCTTCTCTACTGTGTACCTTGAATTAATCGATTATTTTACGTGACACTAATCAATGTCATTAATGCTGATAGATAATCAATTATATGATTTAAAGGAATTAATTGCCTAGATCTACCTATAGGTCCTGTTCTTGGATATCTTTTTTAAGCTAATTATTCTTTAAAGAATTGTATTATCAAGGTGTTTACTACAATCTTAATCCTCTTAATTTTTGAAAAAAAGTATGAACATGAAAAGTATCAAATAAATACTGGAAATTCAGGAAGATATAAAAGTTGATGGTCAAATGACCTTCTGTCTCATGATTGATTCTTGTATTTTTATTTCATGTTGTAAACTTGTGGTCTTATTCTATAACACATAGCACTTATGGTATTTAAACATAAAATACAATCAAATACCACTTGCCTCTCCATCTTTTTGTTTGTGGCTGTAAATATGCAATAACTTCAGTCAATCTTCTTTCAAATGCTTTCAAATCTATCATATAAAAATAATTACATGTTCATTACAAAACAAATATCTAAAAATTAATGTACAATTTTTTAAAGATGAAAGAAACAAGGATAAAAAGGTATAATGGGATTACTATCATCACCCAAAACAGCCACAGTTGGTAAATGGTAGATTGACTTGGGACATTATGAGTTTAAGTATTCAAGTTTTATACCTCAATATAAGTAACTGTTTTTTGGTTACTTGTATGACAGTTTTCAACTATGATGTGGAAGTGGTACGGAATATCTACATCACCTATTGGACGCTGTTTCCATGATTACCTTCCTTCAAGTTCTACATCTGTTTTTGTCGTGCAAGATTAAAATATGCATAATTATAATTAAATGGTTTCTAGTTCTGATATTTTTCCCACTTGAAACTGATGCTCATATGTGAATAGTTTATGTTTACGTACAGTCGTGGTAACAATTATGTACATGCACAAGTGATACACAAACAGAAGTCACAGATAATGAGTAACTGCAACTGAATGATCAGTTTATCATTATTTCAATACATTATTATAAAAAGTATACAAAACAAAATAAACTGTACAGTGCATTAGTATTTCAGTTGACCTTGCTTTTATGCTACCATAAGTGTATTAATGTATAATTATGAAACATTATTCCAAGTGTCCTTGATGTCCTAGCAGTTGTATTACTCCCTAGCCAGGTCATTTTGTTGCCATTTGATCTTTTCAGTATATACATAAGCTCATGCAATCTTAAAAATATTCATATTGGGATTCTGTACATGCCAAGACATGGTCGCAGTTGTTCTATTAGACTCTTTTTCCTTCCATGTGTTTTTCACCACATCTGCTAATTGCTTAATAATCATTGTCTTGCTGGAATAAATCCCAGCCCTTGTTTCTGAGTGACTGACACAATTGATAAAAATAAGAATAAACTTGTTCTTATCAGCAGTCAGGGTGCCATCAAATTTGTGTATCCTTCCTGAGAAGCAGCCTACATTTGTATTGCTGCTCCAGCATGTTTAAATGTAGAAATTATACACTAACTGTGATACCATTCTTCTCTTTGCCACCAATCAAACTATTATTAATAGTTGCCAATTTAAATTTGGATTAATCTATAAAAATCACCATCTTCCAGCTTTGCTTATCCAATTGTTTGAAGTCTAAGGCCTATTTAACTTTTTGGTTTAGTTATCTATCCTAGCAGTGTTTTGAAGCAGTAATATATCCATTAAGACTACTTTTATGGTCATGCTAATATGTATCTTACTTTCTGGAAGTATCTTTCCATTTACACCTGTACTTACAGCTAGATCACTGGCAAGATATCTACTAGGTTGTTGTGTATCACATAAAGTAAACATCTTGAGGTATCTAACATGTTTGAATAACCTGGGCTTTCTACCTTGACTTATTCTATTATCAACAGTACTAGTTTCACATACCTTCTTCTGAATTTCAGTACATCTGTTTCTGAAATGTGAAATTTTGCTTAATTATGTCACATGCAATAACTTTCACGAGTCAAAAACTTTGATTTCTGCACATTTGCCATGTGACATTTCTGTCATGGGAGCCATGAGTGTTGAATCTCAGAAACTACCACACCGATCATCACCAATCATACCTGGGTAATACTTATATAACTAGGCAGTATTTTTATAGCTGAGCAATAAACAAAATCGAAATTTCCACAAAAATTATATGTTTCAGATTTAACCAATAAAAATTACAAACAAATATGAGTAAGTTTCAAATACAAAACAATCAAAAACAAACTTAAAAAAATTATTTCTTTTTCTTTGATGAAAATATCATGAGTGTTGCAACAGAAGAGCAAGACACTTTCATTGATAACAAAGTCTACAAAGAAATACTTCAATAAAATCTAGTCTATGATGTAATGCTGTGATGATAGTTCATTTTTAAGCTAAAATTTCAATAAAATCCTTTTTCTCATAAATAGTGAACATTATTGGGTGCTACTATAGCATGAGGTCTACC